TATTGTGTTGATTCGGTTTTGAGTGTAGACCTTCTTGCCATGTTTTTGCTTGACTGTTCTTGGGATTAAATAGGCGAATATTCTTATTGTGTCCATAGCATCCACAACCGAAGCAAATTAGGTTTAAGCTTTTGTACTCCACATTGTATAATTCATCTCTAATAAGGAGTCTGGGGACCAGTTTCTTTTGTTAATGTATTTCAACACTAATTTTAGCAAATTTACCTTTCCTATGGCATCTTTCATCTCTATTTATGTTTGCATCCACCTTAAGAGTTTTCTCAATGCAATTTCCCATTCTCCAAAGCATTTCTTTATCATAATATTGGATGGGAATGTTAGATAATCGAACCCATAGTGCTACCTTACTTAGAGAGTTAGTGTTAGGATTGAATTGGGGTGTCAATCTCTGAACAAGGATGCAGTGATCGAAGATAGTCCATGAACCACCATTAAGGATTCTTTTATAGGCTTTAGGATTTTTTGTTCGCACTATATAATAATTGTTAACTAAATCAATAAGCTCAAAATCCTTTAAATTCCACATTATGGCAAGTCTAGGCTTGAGAGATCTAGGATGCAACTGAATGCCTAAAGTATTCATCATTAAGGTGTCCATCTAGGGAAGGCATGTATTCTTCCATTCATGATTTGAGATAGGCACTATTGGAAATTTCTCCATTAATTTTTTAGTTGTTTCAAATGGATTCCATTCCTTGTTTAGCTCTTTAGCAAGTGTGCTATTGATATGCCTAGTGTCTTTGGTCTCATGGATTCCAAAGCAGCCATTGTAGCCTATGAGTGAATCTTTGTAAGAGATAGGAGCTTTGAAGGCTTTGATTTTAGAGATTATATTTTCTTTGCTTGAGTTTGTATCTTGCACTTGAACTTTTTCAGATTGTAGTTCCATAGGTTGGACAGAGTTTAATGAGTTTTTACTTCCTGTTGCAAGATTGTTGGTATGCTTGGATGATATTGAATGATCTAGTTGTGATTCTTGGCCTCTGTCCACTATCCCTTCATCTAACTTCATAACATTTCTGTTAAGTAAGTTGATTTCTTCAACTGATGCAGGGGATCCAAGTTTTCTTCTAATCTTGTTGAATTAGAGAAGATAAAGTTTGGATCAAGCACAGCTTGATGATTCATTGGCATTCATTCTCGCTCAAACCCTTTATTGCAAAGGGTCTTTGTTATTCACTTAAAGCCTTGAAAAATTTGACTAGCTCTTATAAAGTGCTTGAGCCAAAACCTAAGTGAAACCATTCTTACCTCTCATTTTCACTTACAATAGCTTTGACAATCTCTTAAAATGAAAACCTAAAGTCTGAAACAATCAAACATCAATGTCTTAACCCACACCTATTCAGAGACCTAGTTTGTTCACCTATTCCTCAGTTCAGAGATCATATGTCGAGGCTTGAGCGAGAGACTTCAACTTTAATGTTTACATTCCTCTATACTCCACCTCCACCATTAACCTCGGCTCCACCATTGCACACAGTTGAACAGATCTTCCCTCCACCTCTATGGCTCCACCATCGCACTCGCACGCATAATCGCTCTACCATGGCTACAAAATCCGCTCACCGTTGGCTTTTGCCTAGCTTCTTCTCAGGTTATTGCTCCCTCCCTCTTCCACTCTTTTCTAAAGTCATGTAGTTTCTATTCCTCGGTGTTGAAGTTGTACAATTTCTTATAATCTTTTGAAGCACTGATTTATAAATCTGTGAATCCTTGTTATTATGTTATGCTTATGAATTAATATTTGGAAAAATCACTCTAAGGTCCTTTGAAAGCACTTAAAATACATTGAGATCCCATGAATTTAAGAAATCATTGTTGGATCCCAAGGGGCTTAAGGGTGAATAAGTCTAAAAATGAAATTATCCATTTGCCCTCTATTATTAAAAAGAAGATTTTGCTTGTGCCCACACATCTCACAAAACCCATGGTCAGAGATACTGAAGATTGCTGCATATCCATACTTGTTGATCACGGTAGGATAATTTTCACTTCCTCATATCCATGAGTACGACCCTTGTCTTCATCTAAGCGAGTTGGGAGTGTTTCCTCTGTAACAACAGCATTTCATTGACAAAAAAACAATTTTTATAGGTAAACGATTGTTGGCCATAAAATTGGGTAAATCATCAATTGACAGTAGTATATCCATTGTTGGTTAGGTAAACGATTTCTCATGTATTAATGATTTCATTATTGTTTAAGGGTAGGATAATGCTTTTTGGGTATATTTGCAATCATTTGGTTTGCAAAGCTAATATATGGAATAATCTGATGCAACGTTGATATGTTGAAAAATATCTGATATGAATAACTCTATATGTTGTCAATAGTGTTTTCTTGTGTTGTCAATATGCTATAAATAGTTGCTGATATACTGTATTGTGTAGGTTAACTTGTAAGAATACAAATACTACTAGAAAACGTGTATTATGTTATGTTTTTTTTTTCATTTGAGACATTTATATATTATTCCCTAGCATCTGATGCAAGCTTGTTGTGTTGAAAATCTCTGTTGTGAAAAAATACTGCATCTTATCAATAATGGATGAATGTGTTATTGATACAATATGTGTAATTTGTCAATACACTGTGTGTGGTGTAGGTTGGCCTGTAAGATGGCAAGTTCTTCTGGAGAACATTTATTATGTTTTTTCCATATAAGAGGACACCAATGACTAGAAGGCCTTCAAGTAGGTTAAAGACTAAAAGAAGGGAATCTCAATTTTAAAATAAAAGGATTTATCATTGTGAAAGATGCCATAAGACTAGTCATACCTCCAAGACTTGTAAGAATCCTAATCCATGCTAGAAAATATTAGAGACAAGTTTTTTTTTGGTTTATGCATCTGGAATTTATTTTTTGTTTACTTTTTTTGTTTATTGCACCTAATATATTAACATTTGTTAATAGTAAATGCATAGCTTATAAATGAAGTGATAACTTGTAATTAATGACTAATGGCAAGTACTCAATAGGTTTTTGCAACTAGTTGATTTTTGAAGGGAATAACAGCCCCTAGTGCCTCAGCACTTGTCAATGGCAAATTATTAGCCTGTCAATATAGTCATAACCACTTGTCAATTGCCAATGGCAAGTAATCAACAGGTTCTTGAACCTTGTTAATTTTTAAAGGGAATAACAGCACCTAGTGCCTCAGCACTTGTCAATGATGAATTACTACCTTATTAATATAGTTATAACCACTTGTTAATTTCCAATAGTAAGTAGTCAACATGTTCTTTTAACTGGTTAATTTTTGAAGGGAATAACAGCACCTAAGGCCTCAGCACTTGTCAATGGCGAATTAATAGCTTGTCAATATACTAATAACTACTTGTCAATAAAGTAATAAACCCTTGTCAACATTTAATGTTTGCCACATTTACAAACTTGTAATCAGCATTCATAATAGTATTATCCAAGTTAACTACACAAAGTGGGCTAACTATACAAAAGGACATGATTATCAATAAAATTATATCCTAAAGTTCTATCAAAAATCTTTTTACAAGACACATCAAGTAGTCTATTGAATCCTAACTTCTCTACCCTTTTTTATAATTTCTCATTTCCCTTCACATACTTTGCTACTTCAATAAATTGACTAAGAGAGCAGCGCGTATAGAATGGAACAGTATATTTCTTCATTGTTGTTTTTACTTTCTCTTCCATCTTCCTTTATCTGAAAAAAAAAATAGAAAAGTTCAATTAGATATGTTGAAAAGAGATTTTTGCATACTAGTCATTAATACTAAGTTCCAATTTAGAGATTTTTGTACTGGCATTGTTATTAATATCCATAAGGAAGAAGAAAACACAAGTCACAGAGAAAAATGGTTCATTAGTCAATGGAGCATACTGTTGTTGTCAATAGAGTTTATTGTTGTAGTCATTGGAGTAATTAGTTGTCATTCATGAAATAAATGGTTTTTGTCAATAGAATATATGGTTGTTATCAACAAAGAAAGCAGTTGTTGTCAATAGAGAAATTCGTAGATATTTAAAATTACAAATTTTTAAGTAGAATTGAGAATTCTATCATCAACGCACCAATATCTTGACAAGAAAAACCATGATTATACTTGATTACAAAAATCTCATGTACAGCTACACTTTTGTAACAACCAAGAAATATACTTGATTATTTATAAGTCCCCAAAAATGAAAACTAAAGCAAAAATCAAAACTTTAGCAGTAATTTCAGAAACTATTCATATAACCATGGTCATTACACAGCTGATCATTATCTCCTTTTTTCTTTCTGTTTACAAACAATTATACTAGTATCCTTAAGCAAGTCAAGATTATATCTTCTTTGGGATCTAAGAAATTCATTTGCCAGGCTAGACTATTGCAGAGACAGTCCAATAATGGCGGTTAAGGCATATCTAAGTCAATGAAGCAAGAGCTCGCTACTTTCTTTGTTTACTCCTTCTAGTCTTGGACTCTCCAACAAGGGACGTTATAGTCTTCTCCGACAGAATGTGATTGCGAGAATGGTGGTCGGCAATGAATTTTGGAAGATGTTAGAATGAGGAACACAGAACTGTTTACTATGGGTTTTAGCTTTCGTGGGTTACTGGAAACAAAGTGATTTTCAAGTATTTCAAATGTAAGGCAAATGGGTAATTTTGTTTTTAAACTTATTCACCCTTAAATTTCTTGGGATTTGACAGCAATTTTTTGAATTTATAGGATCTTAGCATATTTTAAGTGTTTCTATGAGACCTTAGACTGATTTTCTATTAATATTTTTAAGACTGGAATTTTTTTTTTCTGGAGTGGATTTAATTGTACCATGGCTAGGATTGAACTGTATAAAATACTGATATAATTTTCAACATGATTGAGCTAATTTTTTAAGTGGTTTTCAACACGTTTGAGGATCTTTATATGTCTATGCGGGTGGCCGGAATCCGCCCTTACCCATTTACACCCATGCAAACAGGTAAATGCGTTAGGGGCAGATGGCCACCCGTTTAGCAAAAACGGGCGGGTAACGGGTAAGGCTGAGGTAGCCCGTACCCGCCCCTGTACAGAGTGGTTGAAATTATCCTTCGATCCAAAATAAAATAATCTCCCTTGTCAGATGGTGTGCATGCTTCACTCTGCTTTTTGCTTCTAGACTCTCGCTCTGTGCTCGCTGTCGCTGAACCTCGTCCCAGCGTCGTCTCGCCGCCTTCTTTCCGTCCAGCGTAATCTGGCAACTTTCCTTCTGTTTTCCATTTTTCGGTGCGTGGTCCCGGCGTGGTCTTGATGGAATCATGTTTATTGTACTTGAGTAATGCTAGTCTGATTGTAAAATCTTTCAATCAAGAATCTTTCTGAGAGAAAACCTTATACTAATTATTGGTATTTTCAGCTGATTCGAGCCTGGTAACAGTCGCTTTTTCGTGCATGCAATTCTATTTCTTTTCAATATATAAACTTCAGCTTATGGTTCATGTATGAAGTTGTACTTGAGTTATTCCAATTATTTATTCTCATTGATGCTGGCTTAAAAGTTGAATATATCAAATCTCTAATTTTTTTTTAAGATTTATTATAGAAGACACCAAGATCTCCTGGAGTTTTTACTCGTACTGGTATGATCTATCAAAAAACTTGCTTTTGTGATATGCTATGTGTTTCATTCTCAGCAATTAGATTTTATTCGAATAAAAACAATATCTGGGTGAAGAAAATATTTTATTTGTCAGGTATTCTCCCATTGCAAATTACAAGACAATTTGAGGTTACGTTTACCAATAAAATTTAATAATGACATTTTACAGATTTACTTTCTCAAAACAAAATTATAAATTTTCATAAATATCTCTACATATCATTTTAATTCTCTCTCTACTTAAAGGGTAATATTGAAAAATCATTACAACAACAACAACAACAAGCCTTTATCCCACTAGGTGGGGTCGGCTACATGGATTGCAAGACGCCATTGTGCTCTATCATTTATCAAGCTTTTAGGAATATTATTAATTAAGAGATCGCGTTCAACAACTTTCAAGAGTGTTCTCTTAGGCCTTCCTTTACCTCTCTTAATCGGACTCAAAGTTATATGTTCCACTCTTCTCACTGGTGCCTCCCTTGGTCTTCTTTGTACATGCCCAAACCATCTCAACCGATTTTCTATCATTTTTTCCTCAATAGGTGCCACCCTCACTTTTTCACGTATGTGCTCATTTCGAATTTTATCTTTACGTGTATGTCCGCACATCCATCGTAACATTCTCATCTCTGCTACTCCAACTTTATGCTCTTGCTGTCCAGTTAGAGTCCAGCATTCACTACTATATAACAATGCCGGTTTGATAGCAGTGCGATAAAACTTTTCTTTAAGTTTATTAGGCATCTTACGGTCACAAATAACTCCTTTAGCTTTTCTCCAATTAAACCACCCAGCTTGAATTCTATGTGAAATATCTCCACTGATTTCGCCATCATTTTGAATAATGGCTCCCAAATATCTAAACTTTTCCACTTGAGGTATAATTTGATCTTCCAATTTCACTTGAGGTATAATATTGAAAAATCATTATTAATGAAATTTTATTTTTGTCAAATTGTGGTATATTTTGGGACAACGAAATTCCAAAGTTGTCTTATAATTTAGAACGGAGGTAATATATATGTATATGTGCTATTGCACAATTATTCCTTCCTGTCTCTTCCTTTCCTTTGATCATTAATTAATAGGGTGTTATAATTTCCGTATTAGATATTTACTGGCTCAGTGAATAAGCCTTTAGTTCTCTCATTTTCGCTTTAATCTCTACGACATGTATATTTCTATGGATTCATTTGTAACAGTTTTATTCCCATGTTAAACAGATAGTTATCTTACCATTTCAGTTTATGCTATCCTAACTTCTTATCTGACTAAACCTAGGACGAATTCAGGAGACTTGTTACAAATCTTTAGCCGTGATAGAACCTGTTCCTGATATCATCATCAAAATCATGTGACCCCATTTATTACATTGTCATCCTTTGAAATGTGGATGCTTTTCAGAATGATTCTTGCAATCTCACCTTGAATGATGGAACTTCCGTTCAAATAGAGAAAGGGGAACTCATTGTAGTTGGATGGTGTCAGTACTCAGTAACATAATTTTGCCACATGCCGTGGTGAAGGGGTGAAATGTGATGGAGGAATCTGTTTTTTTAGAGGCAGTTCAATAGATGGAAGGAGTCGAGAGTAGGAAACATTATGAGGCATAAATGTTGCTTTGAGATGCTGTCTTTTATGACAATTTGTGGTTTAACTGTTTAGGATTATGGTTTTGTATTTTCTCTTTTGAGATAACATTGTATGTTGTTAGAATGGTGGATGAACATTTGTGTATTTCAGTAAAAAGAAGATATGCAGCTTATATAATAGCTGTAGATAAATAAACTGATGTGGAAAAAGTGGTTTTTTTAGGAGTGAATGTTATGAAATTATTATTTTTCAGATGCTTGGATTACTATGGTAGGATGCAAAAGCTACCAAATATGGACAATGTGACTTCCTAGAATACATGTGTTTCTTTATAAAATTGTGAATTGTCGATTCCACTAGCAAGATTTGGCTGGCTTTTGAAACCATCTTATGAATTTCTCGTTCTCTTAGTAAAAGATCTATTTCTGCATACCCCTGTGAGAAGAAAAGTGTTGCTCATGAAGCTTACCTTTACTTATGCCTAAGCCTACCTTATCCAAATAAAAAAAAGAGTGGCCTAGGCTATTGTAGAAGCCTAACCTCAGACTAGGTATCTGCTCAAGTTTCACTGAACTAATTTGGTGCTATCACTGGCTCATGTCATTTTTCTCCACTTTACCTCTATTTTCATCCAGACCATCTGATTAAATCTGGCCCTATCTCAGTATTTGTGGATTATGGGATTATGAATGTCATTGTAAATCTCGTATCTTTCTCTGTAGGTGTGTTATAGAGAGAAGAAATTTGTTCTCTTTCTGTTGCTGAGGTACATCAGACACAACAAAGCCACTCCAAAGGAGCTTCACTAATGGCATTGTTCTCTCTTATGGCTTATGGCCCTTCCCTCATATGCACGGCATCATTTAACAGTCACAATAATGGAACCTATGTAATTGATTCAGGTTACATACGGCGTGCAGCTGAGATAGCTGATAAATCTGCGGGATTCACTTCTCCCCATCCCAACTTCGGCTGTGTAATAGCTACTGCCCCTAACATCATTGTTGGGGAGGGTTTTCTCTATGCTCAAGGTACTAAACCAGCTGAGGTTCAGGCTGTTGAGGCTGCAGGTGAATGTTGCCGCGGCGCTACTGCTTATCTCAACATGGAACCAGGGGATTGTCATGGTGACCACACTGCTGTATCTGCTCTTGTTCAGGTTTGCATTTTATATGCCTTGCTTTAGTGCTACTACCTCAAGCTTTTTGTCTTTGATTATCTTAACTCTAGTTTTCTTTGTCTTTTTAGTTCATAAATGACAATGTGTGTGAACTAGGGAGGAGTTAAAAGGGTTGTTATTGGAATGAGACATCCCTTACAACATCTGCGGGGTAGTGCTGTGCGTGCATTGCGAAGTCAAGGAGTGCAAGTTGATGTTCTTGGGGAGGATCTCAAAAGTAAACATATTGAGGTGTGCATTATACATCTTTTCTAATCTCATGTCTTATGGAGTGTTAACGTTGTGTTTAGTTTTTAGTTTAGCTTTGAGACATTGGGAATATGTATTACAGGAAGCTCAGAAAGCATGTTTTCTTGTCAATGCCCCTTTGATTTGCAAAGCTGCTTCACGCCTTCCTTTCTCTGTTCTCAAATATGCCATGACCCTTGATGGTGAGCATTGTACCGGCAATTTTATGCTTTTCCTTTATCTTTCTTTTCCCCCTACATTGATTTTCTCTTTGTGCTCTTTGCTATAAACCATCAAAATTATAGCAGTCCCTTGATACCTTCCTTTTACTTTACCAGGAAAAATCGCTACTAACAGTGGGCATGCAGCATGGATAAGTAGCAAGCAATCTAGAAATCTAGTTTTAGAACTGCGTGGTAGAAGTGATGCTATAATTGTAGGAGGAAACACAGTGCGAAGGGACAGTAAGTATCATGATGATCACATATGACTTTGATGGTGCTTGAGTTTTTATACTTCCTTATGTTTGGATTAGATCCAAGATTGACAGCAAGGCATGGAGGCGGGCACATGCCAGTTCGTGTTGTACTTTCCCAGACTCTCAATCTTCCCGAGGAAGCAAACCTATGGGACATGTCAGAGGTCTCTACCATAGTTGTAACACAGAGAGGTGCTAGGAGGAGCTTCCAAAAGCTACTTGCATCAAAAGGTGTTGAAGTGGTGGAGCTTGACTTATTAAACCCCCGAGATGTCATGGAGTATTTTCATGATCGTGGGTATCTTTCAATTTTCTGGGAGTGTGGAGGAACTTTGGCTGCATCTGCTATTTCATCTGGAGTAATTCACAAGGTTATTTCTTTTTTTTTTTAAATCCTTCATGGCTTGTTTTGTTTTGTTAGGAGTGGATAATGTGAAAACCTTTTTGTGTCTAATTGATTGAAAGGACCTGGATGACAATGTCCACAATTTTCTTTCTATATTACAAGAAGCTTCTCTTTTAATCCATTATGTAGGACATTAGAATAATTTATGTTTGTAAACTGCTAAAAAACAGGATCTCTCTCCTCTCTCTCTCACTCTAAGATTCTAGTACTTTTTGGAGGTTGGAAAATGATGGAGGTTGATCTTTTTTGGTGAAGCAAGATTTACAATGATGGTAAGAATTTTGATAATGAGTCAATGATGCTTATGTGCTATGAAGGATGATGGTCAATCGTATTGTGAGATGCTGAAAGGGAGTTTAGAGGATGAGTTAATGGGTGAAGATGATATCTGCTTGAATTATGAGAATGTGAATAGTGAGAAGAAATTGGTGAACTATTTGAATGAGGATGGGTTGGGTAGTGGATTGGAGGTGATTGAGCGTGAAATTGGAAACCTAAATATTCTAGAGCTTGTTATTCCAAACGATGAGGAAAGGAGATTGTATTGTATAAGCTGTTCAAGAAAGGTTTAATTCTCAAGTTGCTTGGTAGGAGGATTGGACATATCCAGAGTAGCGGTGATTATTGTAATTGATCTTCAAGTTCAATGTAATTAAATTCATAAATCAAGAGCTGTTGGTTTAGGGGAGGTTACTGGCTTTGGTACTATGATGAGATGATTTTGAACTGGATTGGAAATAAAATTTGATGAACAATGAAGGTAGATTTCCCACTTTTATTTAGATTCAAAGTAGGTTTCGGAGTATGGGTGTTCATATTGATCTGTCTAGACCAGTTTTGCTAACATCTGTTATCAGGATCAAGAATTTTGCATTTAATGTCAGTTGATTTGCAGGATTCATCTTAAGCATTGTTGGATTACTTAATGGAGGGGAAGTTACTAGTATGGAATTGTAGAGGAGTAGGGAGCAATAATTTTGAGAAAAGTGCCACATGTTGGTTAGGGATAATAGTATTAATGTGATTGCATTGTTGGAAACAAGATTGGAGGATTATAATGCAAAAAGATGGTCTAGAAGATCATTGTTTGATGACAATTTCTCATTGCTAGTAGAGGGTTTGAGGGAGGATTTGGGTTGCATGGAAGTCATAGGTGAGTTTGGAGCTTGTGGCTTTTAACTTCCAGTATGGTCATTTTCCTTGTTATGGGAGCAAGCTACGTTGGATATTAATAGTGGTTTATGGGAGTCCTAGGGAGGGTGAGGCAAGGGTCTGTTGCGATGAGATGGATAATTTAATCAATGGTATGAATGCATCTTGATGAAGCATAATAATGTCGTGCAATTCATATAACTGACTCCTCCTAGTGGGTGTCTCCAACCTTATGTGTGTGATTAGGATGAAACAGGACAGCATGTAATGAGGGAATCTCATGTTGATAGAGGCATTTGGGAAGACCTGGTTCCAATTGTTTGAGGCAGGATTTCTGTTGTTGTGATCTAATAGTTGGCTTAAGATGAATCTGCTTAATGATAATCATGTGCAGCAGGGTATTACTTGGAATATTTAGATTGGGGCAAGATGTTGGATTCTGTAGAGATAAGGGAATAGGGGAGTTTACAGGAAGGAGGGAGGTAAGGTAGAAGAGATGTTAATGCTGTTAGAAGAGAAATTTTTCTGTATATTAGGAATGTGTGGGAGGCGGAGAATCCTAGTATGGAGAGGTATAGGAGGAGGGTCCTGATAATTAAGTGGAGACCTCCTGATGAGGGGTGGATTAAGCTAGACACTGATGGTTCTAGTGGAGGTGATCCCGGATGTGTTGGAGTGGAGTCATATTAGAGATACTAATGGTGATTGGCTGATTTCTCAAGGAATTTGTGATGTACTGCTTTTCATGCTGAGTTTTGGGCAGTGTTGACTGGTTTGGAGTTAGGCTGGGAGTCAGGTTGAAGGACGGTCACCGCATAAGTTGATTCTGCTGTTTTGTTGAGTCAACTGGACTGTAAAGAGAGAGTCAGAAGTAGATGTATGGTGGCTAGAACGGTCATTGATATGTTGGATAGAGATTGGGACGTCAAGCTTTCATATGTTTTATAATCAAGTGTGGATATCTTGATTGACTAAAGCCTGGAGTTAGATTTAGGAATTCATGTATGGGATGTGGTGATACCTATAGTGAGTTTGGCATGTTATCAGTTTGTTCACTGTGATGGGTTTCTTCTGAGATATCTTGGTTACTTAGCTGAAGAAACTGAGTTAGATGGATTAAGTATCTTTTGTTGAACAAAGTTGGTTTCAACTTCCATTTTATTCTACGAATATTTCGTCCTTTGGTTTTCATGAATTTCAATTTGATTAGAATTAAATTTTTGCAAAGTCCCCCCCTTTCATTTTTCATGAGAAAACTTTATATGATGTTGCACTTGTTGAGATTTATGGCCATCAATAAGTAACAGGTGATCCCTAATATATAGCCAACAATAGATTTTACATAAGTTCTTTGGATAGTTCAGCCATATTTACCAGATGCAGTTTTCTAACCATGCAATGTAGTGTGTACATGTTTCAGTGATGCCATGCCTATTTGCCTTTTGAGACTCCTTTGTGATCAGCTTGTGAACGTCTGCCTTTAATTCTTTGTCTAGTTGGTCATGTCTTAGTGAAAAAAACCCAAGAATTGCTCTGTGCTTTTGAAGAAATGTGTTTAGGAGGAAAATTCCTGTTAATTTTACAAAGCTGTTAATTTTATCTTGTTTTGATATGATTATTACCATTTACCAGGTATGATAGCAATTTATGTGGTCTGCAGGTTTATGCATTTGTTGCTCCTAAAATTATTGGGGGGAAAAATGCACCAACTCCTGTTGGTGAGCTTGGGATGGTTGAGATGTCACAGGCTATAGATCTGATTGATGTTTGCTATGACCAGGTTGGTAATAATTCCTTCAAAATATTATTTTTCAGTACATATTCATCTGATTGATGCCTCTATTGGCCTAGTTCACATGCTTAAATATGTCAAAGTAAATAGATTTTTAGTTGCATCTAGTATTCTCTGTTTACCAGAATATTGAAGTATGAATGAAGAAAGGCATGAGAGAAAAGCATATTGCTTAGCCATAATTCTTGACTAGAGGGGACACCGAAGGCCTTTGCCCTTCCATCCCTTTGATAGATGGAGGGATGGCAGAGCTTTTGTTTTCTTTCATGTTGTCAAAGAGTTGAACAAAGAAAATAAATGGCCAATGGCTGATCGAATTGATTGGGTCATTTAGGAACAAGATTCAAGTCTATCAATCTACTAGGATGCCCTCAGCTGCATACATCACTGCAATTCCCCTTTACACCTATCATTGATGATAAACGTCTTGCTGTGACCTCTTGAATTAGACATGATTTACCAGATGTGTCCAGTATTGGATATTTAAGTTGACTTGATATGTCAGAACTTACCATGTTCTTGATTAGCAATGCATTTTCTTGTGTAATGCAGGTTGGGCCTGACATGCTAATAAGTGGTTTTCTTCAGCCTTTACCAGATGTGACACCTGTTATCCCGTCAGTGGATGAGACTTTTGCTGTTGATCCCTCTGTCTCACCTTATGAATCCTGTATCATATTTTTCTATAAAACATGGGATCCTTATGGTTCTTTTTCAAATTTTTCGCCTCATCCCATTCAAATGCCTAATGAAAATGGCGATTATGTAACTTGGTTCAGTGTGGAGCATTACTACCAGGTACTTTCCTTTTCTGCATATATTCTAATCGTTGCAATTATGTTTGCTTATGAAATACAACACAATGTGTAGGCACACAAATTTGTTGGGGTCAACGATCCTTTTGCTCATAATTGTGTTGAAAGGATTAAATCTGCGAGAAGTCCAGAAGAAGCTGCGAGAATAGGAAGGTCAATGCAGAGACAACGACCTGATCTGGTATACCATCCTTATACAGTGCAGGACTAAAATAAATATTGAGGACCAAAATATAAATACAAAGGGGCCTTGAAAGTCAAATATTTAGGGGCACAAAAACACTTATTATGAAGATGAAGGTCAAGAAGTGAAGAAAATTTTACGATTTCTATTGAATAATCTTGGACCTATTGATTTGCATATTATCTGCTGCCGAAAACATGCATTTTAGTTCCCACTGCATATGCTCGTGTTATGATGTTTAAGAATAATAGATGTACTCCTCCATTAAAAAATATGAAGCATTTTTTCTGAGATTAGATCTTCCAAAATACAAGGCATTTTTTGTGTGTGTAATTAGTGAATTTTTTTTTCCCTAAATATACCCTTAGTAAATCAATCAATCAACTTTTTAGGGAGACGCCCTTCTAAATAAGGGAAATTTGGAAAAATGATATAAGTTTAAAGGCAAGTAATTAATTTATTGATGGTGTAATTCAGTTAAAAATGTTTCATTTTTAAATGGAGGGAGTAAATAATTCTGTTTCCTGATTTGTTGAAAGCCAGAAGCTGAAATTGAGGTGTGGTACACAGGTAAGGTCTGACTGGGACAACATAAAGATTGAAGTAATGTTCAGAGCTCTCAAGTGTAAGTTCTCAATCTACCCGCATTTGAATAGCATGTTGGTCTCAACCGCTGGTTCTGTGCTTGTTGAGGCATCACCACATGATCTGTTTTGGGGTGGAGGTCGTGATGGAGAAGGCTTAAATTATCTTGGCCGACTATTGATGCAGTTGAGATCAGAGTTTCTTGGGGATCCCTCTTCATCCAGTGATAATGACAGAAGTTCAGGATTAGCAAGCTTGCATCCATGAAACGGAAAATATAACTTAGTCCTTATATTTGTAGCGTATTTTGGTTTGAGTCCCTTTATTTTTATTTCATTGTTTCAAGTCTCTTTGTTTTATTTATCTGCAACATTAATTCCTATATTTTTAAATATGACCATAAGAGCAGTGGTTAACATGTGATTACTTAACATATCAATTATCATATATGATCAAATATACCAATAAAGATATTTTAAAATTATTTTACTTAAGAGAACATATTTCTTAAGTTTAAATTAGACTAATTTAAAAAGAAAAATATTTTAAATGTTGAGATTACTTGATATGATAATATGGGAGGTCTTAGATGCTTCATTTTTTGTTAATAGTGGATGATTTATTTTGCAACATCTCATAGCATAGGGTGTTTAGTGATTTTTGAAAAATAATTTGTGGTTAAATTTTCTTTACCCATTTTTGAATTAGTGCCTTGATTCATCTGGTTTCCAATGCCTTGGTAATTAGTATTGGAAAGTTGTGCATGATATATTAAAAAGGAGTGGTTTATTTTGAGGGATCTTGAAATTTTCATTACTTTAGAACGCAAAAGTTTAGATTTAATAGTATTAGATTAAATTTTTGAAAGAAAAAAATAATCTTTTCAATCCTTAAACTTTACTTAGGCAACATGGACTTTTGTCCCTAAACTAGTATTCTTGATATGTCAGTCCTCATGAGCTACTGCTGTCGTTTAGTGGCGTCAATGATATGATGAGATGGCTGAGGAATCATCTGATATGGATACCAGGCAGGATTAAAACGGTGACTGATTATAACTTGTCTCTTTGTGGGACAAAGATCAAACTATCATGGTCAATAATAAGCCAATTATGTAATCTGCCTGTAACTGTTGGTCTGTGTTTTATGTTTAGAGAAGATCAGTGTATCATTGTCTAGTTCTGGTGTACTTGACTTTTGTTGATAATCTTCAAGGAATGACTGTGTTATAAATCTGTCCAAATTATAGTGCACATATGGGTCTGCTGGTGCAAATTATGGATGGAATGGTAAGTAATGTAGGAATAATCAATTCTAAGCATAAAATACAATTTAAAAAGATTAAAAAGATAAATAATATACTTAAAATTACAATATGAGTGTGTTCCTTTCAGTGTTAGCTATGAGCAGATGCTGAGACCATGTTCGTTAACTCCTATCTATATCCTATTTTTGTTGGATAAATTGTCTCCAAAATTACTATTTACCAAAAATGCCTTTATTCGTAATTTTCAGAGACCAACGGAAGATGTGGAAGGTTGTTCACAGCCTCACACCAAAAAAGAAGAGATCCTATTAATATTTTTCCTTCAAAAATATTTTTCCTTCACAAACAATTGAGTAAAGAGATCCTATTAATATTTTTCCTTCAAAAGAGAAGGAGACCCACACCAAACTATTACAAATTCGCATTTGACTGAAGCCTAGAGCATCATCCTGCAAAAGCCACCTTAAATCACCCCGGTGGATAATCCAAGTCATACATACCTATATTGGTTGAAATGGTATAGAAGGTTAAGAATTCGGTACATTTATTTCCTTCCAATAGATGTGATCAATCTCCACTTGCCGCTGTCTTTGTAGAAGGAAGTGGATCTGCCCAATCAAGTAATTGTTGGAGTTCACAGAAATAGTTTCTTGTGATAAAAGTTACAGGTAGCATATAGTCAATACCTAGCTTAAACTTTTTGAAACCTTGCTCCCATGCCATATTTAAATCATCAAACTTTGCCAAGAGCCAAGAACCATTGATGAATCAGATTTTGTGTGTGTGTGTGTGTGTGTGTGTGTGTGTGTGTGTTCTATTTACTTGGTCTTTTTATTGATAAATTGGAACAAATTGAGATTAATTAGACTGTATTTTACTTTATTAGTCATTTCATATTTTGTGGGAATTAATTGATCAAATCTTGAAAATTATGATTAAATTCTCCGCTTAATATTTTCGCACATGTGGCTATTGGAATATCTTGCATTGAAGATCATTAATGGAGATTTGTTGGGTTTGAAATGGACTCTAAATTTTATCATCTCAAATTATATTTTCCTCTTGAATAAAATTTTGTAAATTGCAATTTGGGTCATTAAAAATAGTTTTATCTTTTACATTAAAGAAGCTAGGCTTTTGGCATGTGGGATGAACCAATGCACATAACAGCCGAATGACTTTTGAATTGAAAAGTGAAGGAATAGAAAGAACGGAGGGGGAGGAGCAGATAGGCAGATGTGCGCCGATCACAACCTCTTCGCCTTCTTTTCTTCAATATCTGTTTCTCATCGATTTCCAGAGCCAAGGAATTCTAATTTCTTTGTACATTAGCTACAAGTTACAAAGGAGATTTATTTGTGCCAAGTGTTTGTTTAGATTTGAACATAATATTTGGATGTCTTGGGGATGATTTGAGTTGAAAATTTCATTAAAGCCTACTAATCCAACCATAAATCTATAACCATTAATTTTCAATTCAAATCTTTCACAAAACATCCAAATATTATGTTCAAATCTGAATTTACATTAAGCACAAATTAATCACAACAAAGAGAGCCAAAAGAGGCGGAAATAAGATAGGAATTTCAAGCCAAAATTTCCATAATTATTGGACTTCCATTACAAACTTGGGGTTTAGATTTTGTAGATAATGTGCAAAGAAAAAAATTTTAAAAACTGTACTATAAAACAGTTTTTAAAAATAAAAAATAAAAAAAGAAACTAAACAGGTTTAGAATTCTATGATTCCAAAAATCAAACAGAAACAAGCGAGAATGAGAGCGACATCGCTTGAAGAAAAGAAGACAACGAAAATGACTCTGCCTCTATGGTTTGTTCTTTCTATTCCTTCCCTTTTCAATTCAAGTCATTTGGCCGTCATGTGCATCCCACATGCCAAAAACCTATTATTTTGATGTAAAAGACAAAACTATTCTTAATAATATTAATTTACACAATTTTATTTAAGGGAAAAATACAATTTGAGATAATAAAATTTAGAGTCCATTTCAAGCCCAACAAATCTCCATTAATGATCTTCAATTTAGTTCCAAAAATCTGCACAAAATAAAATAATATTCAATAGCCACATGTGCAAAAATATTAAATAGAGAATTTAATCATAATTTTCAACATTTAATCAATTAATTCTCACAAAATATGAAATGACTAGTAAAGTAAAATAAAGTCTAAATAATCTCAATTAATCACAATACATCAATAAAAAGATCAAGTGAAGAGGATACATATACATACATATATATATAAATATATATAATATGATTTATCAATTCTCCACACTTATACTGGTACACTTTTGGATAAAAGCAATAATAAGTGAGGAAGCCACAAAGTGCAAACCAATCATGGTCTTTCAATATCTCAACAATCAAAGTCATCTTCCTAGCATCAAGGAGATAAGTACCATGGCAAATATTTGACAAAAATGAATCCAAGTGAGAAATCCCTCACCAACGTCAAAGTGTTTATCTTTCAAGTCTCATGTATTTAAAAGTTGGTGTTCCTCTCAACATCACCTATCATATCCCACTACAATAAACTTATTTATCATTTAAGTTTCTATCACCTAATACAATCATTAGGATGTATGAATTAAAAGGACTTAATTAAGGTTGGCTAAGGTTTGGAATGATTGGAGAAACAAAGAAACATGGGGAAACAAACAAACAATCAGGTATCTTAGAAATTTAAGAGCCATATGAAAGGTTCTGATAGAATGTGAACAAAAACTTGGCCTAACCAAAAAAAAAAAAAGACACTTCTACATTTGCATGTGCATTTTTTTTTCAATTTTTTTTCATAATTCTACTCTTTTCTCTTTCTTTTTTTTTTTTTTTTTGTTTCTTCTTCTTCTTCTTCTTTTCATTTTTTTCTGCTTGTCTCTCTCTCTATTTTTTTTTTTTGGCCATATACATCCTTTCAAGAAATTTCTATTGTTTACGGAAAAACACAAGCCAAATGAAATATCACAACATTCATCCATCCAATAAGAGAGATTCTCTTAAACTTCTAAATAAAAAATGGGTGAAGAAGATATTTGTTAACAATGGTTATGGGACAGGAAAGAAAACACATTAACGGTCCCAAATGGTAAAACAATGGATAGAACATGCAAGGGTTGGTCAAATTTGCTAAATTGAGATAATGGCCATGATCATTTTCATGCATAGCAATTGCAAAAGTGATATCAACCAAGAATCAAGACAGGTTCTGAAGTGGAGACAATGATAAGCAAGTACACACAAAAGAGATCAAAATTTAAGTCCAAATCCTCACTAGCTAATGACTATCCACCACAATTCATTAAGTCAAACTCATTGCCACGTGAATTCAAGATACAAGTTCAATTTTTTTCATGCAAAAATGCTTCAAGCCAAGATTTACTTTAAATTTACAACTTCACTTTGATTGAGATTAAAAGGAAAAACAAACTAAAGACAATGAAAAATAAACTAGCTAAACAAGAAAAATAGGTGTACTCATTCTCTCCCACACACTTAAATTTCACATTTTCCTCAATGCGAACCAACAACATATAATCAAAACATGTGAAATAAAAGAGTAAGGGAAAAGGAAACAGCTTGAAAGTGTCAAGTAGGAGGGTATAGACGGTGTTCCTCTACTATATGCTCCTGAAATCCTTCATAGAAGTGCTTTTTGTTTCTGCCCATTCACTTTAAATCTCTTATCAGAAGCATTATCTTGAAGCCCAACTACACCAAAAGGAAGTACATGAGTGGCCGTACAAGGACTAGTTCATCTAGAACGAAGCCCACCAGGCATAAGCTTGAGGCGAGAATTGTAAAGTACTCCTTTTAGTCCTATTTATAAGACACCTTCTAAAAGTAATTTTTGATTTAAAATATAGTACACTTTGTAATAATTAAATCACTTTTTTCAATTTTACCCCTTCTTGATTAGCATGAAGATATTTAATATAGTTGTATTATTATTTAAAGCTAAGGGTAAAAATGAAAATATATATCACTTTTTTTATGATATCAAGAAAAAAATTAACTTTTCTTAAGATGTGTAAAACAGTTGAAAGTCTCTTATAATAAAGATAGAAGGGAGTATCACTTTGTCTCCAACTTTGAATTCCTTTCTTGCTATCAACTTGTCATGTGCTACCTTGGTCTTTTC